TGTCACTCTCAAACAAGAATTATTTAGTAAATCGTACCATATTTCTAATTTTTTCTAGTTATTTGGATTATAAAATGCAGATGGAAAACACATTAGTTATTATAAAAACATGCCTGCAACATCACAAGTACCACAGGGCAGTTTGTGTATGCATTTGTGACATTTTAAATTTTTTAAATTAAAAAAATGTATATAATATCTTGTATCTCTCTTCAAGAAAGTCATATTTTGTTTGGGAAGCCAAGACAGGTAAATACATATAAGGAACTATGGATTACAATATAATTAGGCATCAAATAATATAAATATACAAATATACAAAAATTATACAATAATTTTTCCTCTGAGTTTCAGCTTCCTCATGTAATTATTGTTGCAAGGATAAAAATATAAATCTTGTGACTTCTGAAAGCTGTGGATTCCATTATCAATGCAACATGGTAGCAAGATTAAAAGTCTTCCCAAAGCAACCAAGTAAGTTAAGCAAGACTCCTCAGAAAAGACAAACTGATATTGATAAAATATATCGTTCAAAGACTTGACCTTGGTTTTTCATTATTCCTATGTAACTTTTGCTGTAAAATTCTTTTTGGTAGGACTGGGGTTTGAACTCAGGGCTTCATGCTTGCAAAACAGGTGCTCTATCACTTGAGCTACAACTCCCGTCCATTTTGCTCTGGTTATTTTGGAGATGGGGGTCTCACAAACTTTTGTCCAGGCTATCCTTGAACCTCGATCCTCCCGATCTCAGCCTCCCAAATAACTAAGATTATAGGCGTGAGCCACCCGTGCCTGGCTCTATAAATTCTTACAAATGAAAGAACCCCCCTATCAGGATTGTGGAATTAAGGGGCATTTCTTGGCTAAGAATGCCTTCACTTGTGGCTCACACACTGTATTTCACTACTCCATTCAGCATGTATTGTACTACTTAGCTCTGTGCTATGTAAAGTGGAAAATACAAAGATTCCTTTCCTGAAAGATATAAAAAATAAAATGCAAATAAATTATAAACAATGCCATTAAGCAAAATGAGGTCTGGCTTCCCTGATGTCAATGGAAAGATGTTGAGAGTCCCACCAAACAAAATTTTTAAATCACTTCACACAGGTCTGTGTTTTTTGAATAATATGTGCAATGTGCATCTGTGGCCTAACATCCATTCTACAGGGGAGACTTTTATTTTCTACTTTACTCATTTCTGTATTTCTTACAATATCTGTAAGTGTGCAGCTTCTCTCTGGACCATATGTAATCTATGAAGCTCTATTACATGTATTTATACATGTACAAAGACTATAATGCCTATCTAATATGAACTTGAGTGTGCTGACAATAAATACAACCCACAGCCCTGCATGTTTTGCTTTGAAGGGCATTATTGGATAAATTGATGAAACGTGGGTGTGGTCTGTGAATTACAGGATATGTTCTGTATCAGTGTTAATTTCCTGATTGTGATGGTTGTATTTAGGGTAAGAACAAGAACATCCTTGCTGCCTGTAGAAATTACATAGCAAATTTCATTCACAGGCATTGGAGTATCAGGTTGACAATTTATAAATGGTTGAGGAATTCTCGACCCTGTCAGAATATCATGATTTTGCAAATTTGGTAAGCTTTTCCATTAATTTGAGATTGTTGTAAAATAAAAATTATTTTCAATATAAAGATTCAATTGGGAATTGCCTCTGCAGGCTAGAGCAGGATTGAGATTTTGTGCCAGATTCATCCTTCGTCTTTCAATGTGTGTTCATTCATGGTCAAATGAAGATAGCATAACTGAAAACGGAACTCTCTCAATCAAGGGTTGGAAAACTTGGCTTTTCTGGTCTTTTTCTAAATGGCCATATAGTAAATATACCAGAATTTGAAAGTTATTCAGTCCCTGTGGCTTCAACTCAACTCTGCCATTATAAATGTAGCCATAGAAAATACATAAAATAATATAGCTGGATTCTAATATAACTGGATTCTAATAAAAACATAAATACTCAAAAATATCTATGGACACTGAAATTTGAATTTCATACAATTTTTATTTGTCACAACATTTTCTCAATCATTTAAAATTATAAAACCTGTCCTTAGCTTCTGGGTCATATAAAAATAGGCATATTTGCTGATAGGCCTTAGTTTGTACACTTTTCTCTTATAATTTCAAATGGTTATTACATATCTCTCATTAACAGATTACTAGTAAATAATCTGTGAATAGGAACCTTATAACTTTAAGGGAAGCATTTGAGAATTTGCTATGTAGACTTCCCAGGATACAGGTGAATGATAGAATGTGAACAGTTAGTTATTTGGTAGACTCATTACATACACATTTCTTTTGTCAGATGCTGCTTAAATCCAACCCATCATGAGTTGCTTCACCTTGAAAAATAAGCCTTAATTCTGACAAAAGCTTGAGATCAAGTTGATGCTTGCTTAGTATTAAAAAATAAGTGGTTTGTCTCAAAATGACTTTTCCTGAAAACATTCTGCTTACCTTGGCACAGTGAGAGTACATAACGAAAGAAGTGTTTCTACAAGTTTTTATCTAGCTCAACTCATCGATCTTCAGTCATTTGGCACGTTTGGTTTCTTTGCATTTTTTTCAATTCTATAACATTTCAAAAGTCCATTATTTCAGAAGTTGAGAGATAATCAGAAGAAATTAAAAGGAAGGTGAATAGTGGAACCTAAAATAGTTAATTGGGAAAGGAAAAGAGATGGTCAGTGAGACTCATTAATTGTATAGCAAATGTTAGGTGAGGCTCTGAGTCTAGGAAATCATGGTTTCACTATCAAGAAATGGGACGGGATGGGGTTATGTGAACAGCAGCTCATTTGTAAAGAAGGATTCAAAGATATTTGACTTCTAGCATTTTCTCATTTTCCTAGATTTAGAATTCATTGGAACATTTACTTGAGTAGACATTTTATCATTTTCTAACATCTTAGATACACACTGAAAATATTGCAATAGACATATCACTTTGATCATTAGTTATTATACCTAGGAGCAGAAAGACCACTGTGACTGTAATCTTGTGAGTTTGTATATATAATGTTGTCAAAGTTTCTACACAGAGTTGTTGTTGTTTTGAAAAAACAAAAAAAGGCTCAGTAGTTGTGTTGAGGTAAAGTATGGTCCTAACACATGTCCTGTCATGGGACAGAAACCCCCACCTCTTAGGCACTGGATTACTTAGATTGAAAACAGCAGGCATTTGCTTCAGCTCAGAGCTTAACAATCTTATGGATGAGACAAGTACACACCACATAAGGCAAGCTGGACGACTTCCAAACAAGAGAAACAGCACCGATGAGAGCCACACATTACAAATGCTGACAAAGAATGATTTATTAAGGTCCAATTAGTATGCTTTTAATTTCAAATAGTCCATGTCTCTTCCATAAGAATAGGTACATCAGTAGAAGTTCAAGTTCATTTCTTTCACTTCCAGTATAAGATGTTCTGTATCTTGTATAAAGTATGTGCAAACACCTTTCTGCTAACTGGTTCTCCATACTCTTTTCACTCCACCCTCCCTGTTCAAATGCTGACCCTGCTCTGACTTCCTCCTTCCTAGACAGTCATTCTTCTTCCACTTCTTTTCTCAGACATCCTCCTGACCTCCCTACACCTTCTTCAAGATTGTTACTTCCTGATTTCTCCTTACAACAAACGGATGCAATCACTATTCACCTGGACAATGTACTATAGGGGTGATTTCTAGAGAAAACACTATAGTCAGTCACATACTGACACACTTCATCTCTTTGTTACAGAAGGGCCCCAAGCAATTCATCGATTTTCAGTCATTTGGCACATTTGGTTTCTTTGCATTTTTTTCAATTCTATATTGTAATTGTCGCTACCAAGAGGGGATTAACTGGTTCCTCAAAAACAGTCCCGAATTGCTAGCTATATTAGGGTTTCTGGGTTACTGTGGCAGTTGACTGTTTCTAATCCATCCTGTCATATTAAAAAAAAAGTCATTCTCAACTAAAATAACCACTTCATTTCTTCTGTAAAAAGTAATTTAACTGGCTTTCCTCACATCTGCCACCCAGGCAGTACAAAAGCAGGAAATCCCTATTTATAAAAGGTAAAAGCACAAGAAACCATTTCACATTAAAAAAAAAAAAAGTCCTTCATGGGAATAGGTCCTAAGTAAATAATCAATTATATGGACAAAGTTTTATGTACATAGCAACTTTATAATCATGAAAATTCAAAATAACCTAAATAATCAACAATATGGGAATAGTTACATGAAATGAGTTATATCCATTAAATGGAATATTATATAGCCACTAAAATTGTTTCTGTAAAAATGTTAATGCCATCAGAAAATCTGGACATTCTGCAATAAAAAAAACGAATTACAGAACTGTTTACAGTACTATCCCAATTATATAAAAAAGTATAAACTATACTTATATGTATACATAGGGGGGACTATTAATTCTGGGTTGTGATATTATCAGTTATCACCTTTTCTTTTTTTTACACAGTTCTGCAATCTTCACGTTTTCTACAATAAGTGTGTGTTATTTTATAACTCAGACAACTTCAAGCTGTTAAAAACTTCCTCTGATGTACTGGCAATAAGAATGTACTTGGGTGTGTTTGATATACAGGAACAATATTACTGTGTTTCATCTTCTATGACTTTTTTGAGTATTTTTTTTAGTAATAAACGTTCATTCCCTGTTTGTTTTATACTTGTTACAACACTTTAATAAAAGGTAATATTGTGATTAGAGCATTTTTTTTCATAGTCTAAACAAATACTGGTTTTCACAACTAGATTCTTCTATTTCCTAGAAGATTTAAAATTAGTATCCTTTTATCTTTTTAAGTAAGCATACCGTTTACATACATTACATGTGTACTTTCTAAACAAAAAATAGTTCCAATTTACAGTTTTCCTACAGAAGGAAAGAATGAAATTGTGGAAGTTGAACAAACAGGCTCTAGTCCTTTCCATCACAAACATGTGGATAGGCGAAAACACGTTTTTATATAAAACATATCCTTGAAAAGCAGAAACACAATGGAGGCCTGTGTGTAAATGAAGTTGTGGACTCGTTTGTCAGAATTTATTCTGACTTGCACCGAACTACACAAAGTCTTTAAAGTCTAGTTAGTGAGTGCAAATGGGACGCTCCAGAGTCAACATCTGAATTCCACTGTGAGAGCTCCACTTTCTGCTTTCAACAGGAGGGGATCAGGATGAGGGTTGTCACATAAGCTGCTTTTCAACGTAAGTCTCCCAAGTCTCCCGGGCTTAGGACGAATACTGCCATTGGTTAGTGTTTAAGTGCACGAGTTTCTTCCTGTCTTGCTCCCCACCTCACCTGGGACCGGGGTTGGGGGAGGCTGTTCATGCCTTCACTGAGGATGGCAGGCCTCTCATCTTCCTTTCCTTTCTAAACCACAGAGTGGTCATTGCTGTGAACTCCAGCCAGGATGGTGTGGTTGAGGGAGGAGGCCGAGCGGTCGGAGCCTTCAGTGGGGCCACTGGCTGTCTCGCTGCGCTGGCAGCAGAGGATCTGTCTGAAGGTGGCGCTCATCTCCTTGTCGCGGTAGGAGTAGATGACAGGGTTCATCGCAGAGTTGAACTCAGCCAGGAGAAGGAAGAATTTCTCGTAAGCCAGGACATCACACTGTGGGCAGCACACATCCAGCAGTAGCAAGACCAGGCCCGGAGTCCAGCAGACAATAAAGGCACCTGCATGGACAGGGAGAGGGATTGGGGGTTTTAAGAGGAGAAGACAAAAAATATCAGTCTCAAATATGCCTCCATAAAGTAAAATTATTTCAGTTTAATATAGAAATCCTGAGTTTGGAAGCTAGAAATCATCACTGCAAGAAAAAAATGTTCCTTGTCTGGAATAACCAGGAAGAAAATTAAAGATTAAAAACAAGAAAATAACATTTCATTAATTCAGATCCTACAAAATTGAGTATTTATGAGTCAATGATGATTATTTTGGGTAACACAGAATTTGATAAGCAACGGAGACATGAAAAACTGCATTCAGGATGCATACTTCATAAATTTTCTTCAGAAATTGCATAAAGACATGGTTTTTAACAGCAAAAGGTTGTTTTTGGGCAGAAGGTAAGCACTCATGATAAACATCCTTTGATATTTAGTTAAGTCACAGACTCTGCTTTCAGTTTCCCTGGGCTCAAATCCTTGCTTTGCCATTTTGTGAACTGGGTGAACTTAGGCAAACTCCCCTTTTAGCCCCATTTTTCTCATCTTCAAAATAGACATAATCACATTTACCTCATGAGGTTAGTTGTAAGGATTAAATGAGTACTAAGAAAACAATCTCCTGGGAGGCAGAGAATCGGAAGATTGTGATTTGAGACCAGCCTGAGCAAAAAGGTGACACCCCTGACTCGATCAATGGCTGTGTGCAGTAGTGCACACCTGTCATTTTAGCTAGGCGAGGAAGAACAAACAGGAATGTGGTCCTGGCTTGTCTGGGTATAAATTGAGAACCTATTTTGAAAAATAGCCAAAGCAAAAAGGGCTAGCAGAAGGGCTCAAGCGGTAGTGCACCTGCCTCATAAATGTGACACCCTGACAGTTCAACCCCCAATACTGTTATTACAATTATATTGTTATGTCCTGCCCTGTTATGTCCTGCCCAGTAGCATGAGTCTCTTTGGAATTGTAGTTTCTATGACAAAAGTTTTTACTTTTATTCAACAATCACTTACATCGTGATTTGCTATATACTTTACAAATAACTCACTGGATCTGCACAATAACCACATGACATATAAACTAATAACCCCATTGTACAGATGAAGAAACAGAGACCTGGAATGTTTAAAGAAATACTGTACTCAGGGCCACAGTACTGGGAAGTCGCAGACAAGAGACAAATCCCAGACCTTCTGCTTTTGGAGTCTGCCTCCAGAGTCCACATTCCAAAAAACACTCCATCATAACCCACTTCTTAAAACTAATAAAATTAAATATTTTTAAGGCAAATTTTATAATTCAGATGTTCTACTTTTTTTTCCATTTTTCTTTTCTCTCCCCCCCCCCTTATTATTGCACTGGGTGGGGGTACATTGTGGCCTTTACAAAGGCTTTTACAGTGTATCAAATATATCATACTTGAATTCACCCCCTCCACTGCTCTCCTTTGCCCCCCTTCCCTTTTCTATTAATTGAGATCAACTTTTGTCTTCCATCTTCCCCCAACTCTTCTAAGATTTGACTATAATTTTATGAGGAATGGAAATATAGATTATATTCTGAATTCTATTTCATATCTGAAATCATTTATTATTTGGATTTCAGGAAAGTAGAGGTTGTGAAGTTATATTAAAACCCACCACAGTGCTACCTTAGTATCTGGGGGGTTCTGGACTGAAAGAAGCGTCAATAGAACCAATGAGCACGATTGTGTCCCATTATACTTCATCTAAGGGGCCCTGTATGGATAATCAGGCTACCTAATGAGCAGAGGGGACAGGGATGATCCCAATCTTTAGATTGAGATGGTGCTATAGTCCACATTGGTGGATGTGGGCTTGGGCTAGACTTGAACTAACCTCAAGAAATGAGTTTCACAAAATGTAAACAAATGAGATTTCATCTCCCAACAGCCCAGTTTTGAAAGTGAGCTTTCTTTTTCTTTTTGAACCTTTTCAGCAGGGAAATGAAAATAAAGTGAGGAGAAAAGTACCCCCATCAAGCTCTTTGTTCTGCAACACAAGTGAGGATTGCTTTTAAACTGCTGTTCACTTTGAAGACTGTCCAAGGTGCTTTTCTAATAAATACCCTAGACTCTCCTTAGTGAGAAAAAAATAATATTCCAAATATTACCAGATTATAGCCAAGGAGATATCTGAGCTTCAATAAAAATGTTAATAAAGCATTCATACTAAGTCCTTGAATTTCCTTTATTGAAAATCACTCAGAAAGCTAAACATAAAGGAAAATCAAAGGAATGCCTCTTGGGTTTCAGAAATAATGCATTATTCATTGAGAAGCCAGGAAGGGAATTATTGTCAGGGTGGAAAATGCTTGGATGGAAAGTGCATGGTCCCATTATTCACTTACTTGGAAACTAAGCACACACAGGCCCCTCATGAATGGGCAAGCATTCTTTCAAGTTTCCTTTCCCCTTTCTTTTATCAAAGCTCTAATTGAGCTCAAATTCAGAGCTTGATTATAGATAGCAGCACATCAGATATATTTTAAATAAAATGATCTTTTCCTCCTTCCAGACAGGACAGGGGAATATTCCTTTTTCTCATGTAGTTGCATGATCTTTTTGACTTTGCTCAGAAGTGAGAGAATCCAAATACACTCATTTGTTGTTTATGATTTCTTCCAATGTTAAAATTCAAGAAGAGCAAGATCTTTCTTAAAAAAAAAAAATGGTCTTAGGAACTCTAGCCTACTGACCTGGGCATTACTTTTAGACCAAATGAACAAACAAACAAGAAAGTACCCTGCTAGATTGGAGACAGGAAGTGGGAAACACCACAGCCTGAAGCCTGACAGGAGCTAATGCATGTGGACATTTCATTAAAGAGCTGAGCTCTCTCCCTTCTCCTTCACTGAGGGGAACTATTTTTATTATGATGATTAAGCCTAACCACACTGTATTTGAATCTTCAGGACTCAATCCAGTGTCTCAGTGACCCACAGTACACGCCTTGGAAATTAACATTCAAAATCAATCATGCAGAATTTTCTTTTCCTTTCCTCTCTCTCACAGAGAGGTCAAACATCAAATTGATATGCTACAGTAGGGAAACTGGAATATTTCCAAGGTAGTGAACAAATATTCTGAAATCAAGTTTGTTCAGGTTATACGTTCTGAGCTTCTAAAAACAAAAATAAACCACACCTAAAACCCTTTAATAAGAATTAGCCAACTATTAACTCGGTCAGGCTGTAAGACTTGAGGAGATGGGCAACCTGCACTCTAACCACAGTCTGTAGCAAGTCAAGTGGATGCCTGGTAAAACTTGTTAATGAGTTTATTAAAAAAAATCCTTCCATCTCAGCATCTGTAGGTCCCTGCCTACCCTACAGGACATGGTGATGATCCACTTGAAATACAGTCAATAAAAGCCCTCTTTAAACCATTACAACTACCTGACAACCATGACCTGTGGCCATGGAAGAAGGCTGGTGTGGTGCTTCTATAGAGGGCAGATTTTCCCCTAAGGCAGGACATGAAAGCATGATTTGAATCATAAAGACTATATCATCTTGACTCTAAGTCAGTCCTAGGACTTGCAGTTGGGTATGGAGAAGAAAACAAGAAGGAAGAGAGAGAGGGAGCACAAGGAAGCATCAGAGCCCCAGACTTTTGGAGGTTAAGGGTCAACTCAATGCCTTCCAAGATGGGGAATAAAATAGTATGGCATGCAGTAGGGACAGTCCTTTTGGTAGTCTGCATATTTTTAGCACATTTCTGATGGGGATATTCCTACACACCAAGGCACAAAACCAAAGAATAGTATGCAATAGTGTGAAAGTAAGAGGAAGTACAAATAGTCTATGGTTATTTATTGTAAAGTCGGAAGCAGAAGTGGTGGAAGATAAGATTTCAAGGTCACGAAGGCCTGTGTATCTGGCTAAGCCATTCAAACTTTTTTCCAGTCCTGCATTGGTTTTCAGGAACCCTGGTCACATATAACAATAGCCCACATTGTGAGGACTTATAAGAAATGAAGACTTTTGTTTTAACCTCATTGGTTTTACTGGTCAGATTTTCATTTAAGATATTAGTGATAGACTAGAAGAAAATAATCAAGATGAGGCAAAACAGAAAACAAACGACAACAACAAAAAACAGCCTTTTTCAAATTCCAGAAGAAAAAAATGAGAACATGAATCAGGGCAGCAGTGTGGAAGAAAGAGATGTAGCAGATTGGAAAGGTATTTAGGAGGCAGACTCCACTTGATGGTGAGAAAGACGAAAGAATCTAGGATGACTTCTAATTTTCAATTTGGGTGAAGGAAAGACAGTGGTACCTTTTGCTCAGGAAGGTGACAGGAAAAAGTGTTGATTGGTGTTTACAAACACCAGGGCTGCTGAGCACAAGAGAGTTGATTATATTGATCATGTGTGTTTAATCTGACGAGCCTGCAAGGCATCAGATGGAGATGACTTCCAGACATCATGATAGGTTCATGGCAGTCTGAGTCCTGGGAAACTTGCCTCATGTGCAGGATATTATACCTGATTTACCAGTGTTACAAGGCAGATAGAGAGGCCATTCAAATGTCTGTGGATTGCTCTTCCCTGAACAAGCTTCCTTCCTTTCTTATACACCTGTCAAAGCAATCTGGGAGGATGTCAACGCCCACAAAAATGGAGGGAGAGGTGCTGGAATGTGGAGGCAGAAGGCTGGGAGGAAGGAGGCAGCTCTGGAACAACAGGTCACAGCTGCAGACCAAGCTTATATTACCACAACTTCCCTCGAATCTACACAACCCATCAGCTGCGTAATGTTCACCGTCTGCTCTCACAATCAGTCTTTTTTTTCCTGCATGATTTTTTACCTAATTAGTTGAACTTTGCTTCCTTGCTTACATATGGAATGCAAAAACCAAAGCTGGAAAGGGGAAAAGGCCTCGCCAGAGAAGACCTCTAAGGAGAGAGCCCAAGAGTTTTGATGAAAAAAACAGAAAGCATTTTCAGTTTGCCTGGCAAAATTGTGTTTTTTACAAAAAATTCA